CTGGAGCCGAAGCCCCCCTGTGGCCGCTGGAGAGGTCCCTGGTGGAGCAGGCTGTTCCCCCCTCCCCGATGCTTGGGAAGCTGACCAAACACCACAGCAAATATACCAAAACTTCTAGACTGTTACTTAGATAATGCCTACATCCCCTTTCCCTGCTCATTCAACTTCAAACAGCTCTGTTAAATACTACATGCCACACCTTTAACACCTTCAGCAACCCTTTTAACACTTCCTTTATCTTTCTCCAGCCTGTACTTTTCTAATACCAGCACCAAAGGCTCAGTCAGGGTCCAACTTAATTCCATACCTTTTCCCTCCAACATACTGAAACAACATATCAATATAGCATATTTCATCCCATTTTCCTTCTTTCCTCCTTCTTCCACTCCAGATATTCCTATTCGAAGTGGCCAGCCTAGCCACACTTAAAACATCTTATCAAAGCCTGTCCCTGCTAGGACTCGGGCCACAACACAGGCAGCCTTCTTTGCCTGCCATTCCTTCATCTCTCTTCCTCTCCTTTCCATCCTGGCCCTGACTCCCCCTGAAGATTTTCTTCCTCTTTCTCCAACCCTCTGCCTCACTACCCGCTGCACTGTCAATACCATTAGTTTTGCTCTCTTTTTTTTTTTCCTTCTTATCTCCCCTCCGGACACACACCTCCAGGGCCTCCCACAGGAGGGTCCCCCAGTGACTGTTCACTACATCCCCCATCTTCTGAAGCATTTTCTGCGTATTTTGCCAGGCTTTAATCACACAATGAACTTTCAAGAGCCCTTGGGATACTGGGTCCTCAGGTTTCATCCCCAAGTATTTTCTCATTCTGACCCCAAGTGTCTCATATGATTTCTGTGTTGCACACTATTATTATTCCAGCCAGGATTGGCAAGTGGGTATTTCTGCTCTGCCAGTATTACCCCTGGTCCTGGAGGATGAGCTCTTTCCCATTCTTGTATAGCAGCTCTCCTCCTGATCATTCCCATTTCTTTCCCTGTAAACAACATACTTATAGACATAATTCCCTCCCCCAAGAGTATAAATCAGGTCGTAGGAACTGGTCTAATTGTTCAACTAGGCTGTTGGGGTCCTTGAATAAAGACTTCCTCTCCTTCTTAAAAGTCCTAACCTCTCTGCTGGTAAGGAGGGGGGGTAGTTCACCTAAGACAATACACAGTTACTGTTAGTACTGTTAGTATCAGAGAAGGCAAAATTCTCAACATATCTTCTACCTTGTTCTAATTCTTGCCAGAGCCTAGAGTATGATCCTTCTTTAGGGACAGTGTTAATTACAGTCCCTGTCTCCCTTCTTGGAGTGACTGCTGCTGCCACCAGTTCAATATTAAGATTATAGGGAGCATAACTTGGCTCCTTCTCTGAAAAAGGAATCTTATTGTTTACACATAAATTTAAAGCCTGAATTTTCATCAGACCCATATTTTGGCCAAAATACTGCTGTTTCCTTAATTGGTTCTTTTGTCCAGACTGATACACAATATTTAACCTTTTTTTTTTAATTATTTTTCTTTTACAATCCCTCTAATTTTGGGATTATGTTTCCAATTTCTTATAATTCTTCAGGAAGAACTATTAGTAGGCACTCCCCCAGGGATATCTCCCTGTCCCCTGGAACTCATATTTTCCCATCTTTCCTAACCCTTGCCAGTATGTGCTACAGGATTTTCCCTTCTGCAGTGTACCACACACCAACGTACTGAAAGATGGGGGTGTACCGCCAAGCACTTCCCCGTGCCAGCGTTACTGCACACCTGAGTTTACCAGATTCCCTGGTGTACTTCCAAGCACTTCCCCGTGCAAGGATTACCGTACACCAGATTCCCCTGGTGTAGTGCCAGCACTTCCCCGTGCAAGGGCTTACAATACACCAGATACCCGACCCCCAAGGCAATACTTAATATTTCTTACCTTGGTCTGTGCACAGAGTTACCGGATCGATTCTTAAAAACCCGGAGTGCCTACCTTCTTCCTTTCCCCACTACTTCACGGATCCTGCCTCTTTAACCAGTCTCGGGCCCTCTGTCAGCTTTCCGCAGAACCGCCACCGTCGATGCACAGGACCGCTGAAATCAGCGGGGCATGCCTTCCTGCTGCTGCGGCGGTGGGGCTCCCCAGTAGGTGACTGGATCCCGGATGAGCCCCCAAATTGTGAGAAACACTCCGTAGCCAATAACTTAGGCTCAGGCGAGGATCTCAGTGGAGTAGTAATTTATTCGCGATTGCAATGGCGGGCGCCCCACAAGCAGGAGAGAGCGCATCTACTAGTTCCAAAACACAGTTTATATACCTTTTGATGGCAGGACCCTCCCCTGTTTCCCCACTGAGTGGGTAATCCAGGTTCACAATCTATCTGATGCTTCACAAACAATGCATGGCCTTCAGTTGCCGGCCTGTTAAATTTCAAATTTCTTTTGACATTTTTACTGCTAGAAGTGGTAATGTTTCTTCACTAATCTGACTTGACTTGACACCGTGATTTTCACCTAATTGTCCTAAGGAGTCTGGTTGCCTGCATTTTACTAGGTCGCCTGCTAAACTTTCTTATCACTGTAAGCATATCTCAGTACCACATTCCCTCCTTCTAAACAATGTAACTCTGCAAAGACAACATTTCTATTCCCACACTATGGATGAGAAAGGATGTGGATTTACTACTTTTCTAACCTTACCTCACTGTAACAAGAGACACAGGAAGTCTCCATTGGTTGTCACATGCATGTCTGATTCTGTTGTGAAATGCGAGTGAACTTCAGTGCTTAGATGCAAATAGAAATCCTGGTGTAAATCTAAGGCAGGGAAAAGAGCTTGCATACACTGGAGAATCATGACTGAAGTGTCTCCTCCAGCAATGTTGTCTGGAGATTCGATTTTGGTTCATACTAGCTAACAGCTAGTATTTGGCCATATGCAAGCTCAATCCTTTGCCTCTGGTTTACTGTTCCTTTAGGAAGATAGGTGGTCAATATCATTTGTTTCTCTGTACTGTTATTTCTTCCATAGATATTTATCATGCCTCTTTTTATTTCTATTCTGGCTGCTGTTGTTACTATTTATAATCATATGTAGCTGCTTTAGTGGTCCTATTTCTTCCTAGTCCCCTTAATCTGTGAAACAGATAACCAAAGTTGCACACATAAGGCCAGGTGAAGATGAACTTGTGCATTGTAGGTAAACACCTTTATTTTTAACCCTCAGGATGATTTTGTATGCAGGAAAGATAAAAGGAAAGATTTTTTTTTTTTTCATTTATATTGCTGTGATAAAATAAAATGGTTTGATAATCATGCCCAAAATGCTAAATAGTGACAGCTCAGTCAGTTATGCTTTCAAGTAATGTCCAAGAGCTTTTGGTCCACTTTATTTTGTAATACATATGTGCGACATAGGTACAAAAATGCAATTTTATTTAAATTAGCACAGATGTCAGATAAAAGAATAAATAGAAAGTGCATTTTAAGGCAATTCTACAAAGAGACAAGTGGTATGGAGTCATTCCCTGTGTGGGGGGCACACTGATGTGCACTGCTATGTCATCTGCTTGCTTGCTTGCAGCACCAGGGCCTTTAAAGATACAGCCTAGATTATGAACTACATAATGTAAAGATAGAGCCTAGATTATGAACTACAGTTCACTAGTTATGAGTGCCTTTCTAGCCTCCAGCAGATTGCATTTATATTTGTAATTATTTGTGAGTTTTTCACTAGGCTCCCCAAGGTGTGCTAGGCATCAAACAAAGAAGAAGTGATATGGGAATACACAGATGTTTTGGCAGCAGTTTAGAGCAGCAATTCATCGAGGTTTGAATTCTGGCAATGGCAAGTTTGGAGGAAACTGCCATTACTCCTGCTGAGAAAACATTCTTGTTAGTCAGAAATGGTTGAGCTCCTAAGCACATATTTGTATATACCATTCAAAATAATTTTGTATTTGCTGCCTTTTAAAAAAATATTTTTTTTCCCATCTGTATTTATGTCCAATTATTTTTGAATCCTGCTCAGAGTTTTCATGTATTATATCTAATGATTCTTGTACCAGATGTTGATTTCTACATGCTAATTTTCATTTCAGGGATTCAACAAATTGCAATCCCAATTTTATAAAAGTGTACATGTGAAATAAGTAATTTAACTTATGAGAGCCAGTAGTCTCACAAACAAACATTATTTACCCATGAGGCCTAAACACAATATGCAGAAATTCATAGATAGATAGTTTATAGACTGAAGGATGGACAAACGTAAGTATTACAACATCTTTGTTTCAATTGTGATTGTCTGATGTAGAATCCTTCCCAGTTATATAGTTAGGGACATGAATAAATATGTGCTACCATCTCTGTTCCCACGGTTTCTGCAATTAATTATGGATTGTCATCCTTTGAAAAAGGGGAAGTTAATCAAACCTTCCCTTTGTTTCTGTGTTTTGCAAAATTCCATTCTTCTATTTCATACAGAACTTGTTTTAATTTTATTTCATTCTACTTTAAACTTAAGCTTTGCTTTCCTGCTTCTATTTTTCATATTTGCAGTCTTTAATCTGAAATTATTATCATGCAGCTTTTGCTATGCAATTCAATTTCATCTGGTTTTAGGCCTTCTTCTGAAAATAAATGTGGATTTAAGTTTACATATTTTCATAAGTACAAAGTTAAAGTTTAACCCTTGGCCAGATGCATTTATGCACTGTTGATTAACAGGGCAAGTAGACCTAATGATTACAGACAAATGCTCTCTGTATAAGAGTGGTAGAACTGGTCTTAAATGATTTTTAGCTTTCTTATGGTGTTGCTTGTTTGTTTTTAGTTTCCCTGGAAATTTGTAAGGTATATTAGCTATTTAAAAGATACCCAGAAATTAGCAGCAATGGTCGTGGATGGCCTGTAAATACATTTTTTTATTTGGCTGTGAAATGCCTAACTCTGTGGGGCTACAGTCTTGAAAGGAGCCTTTAATCATTATTGTAGTTTGAATAAATAATAATAAAATGCCCTACTTGATAAGTGATCTACAGACACATGCTTACTTGGACAGATATAATGCTCTTGGTCTTTTCATTATGGCTTTCTTTTAAAGAGTACATCCATATAAGCTTTGTCCAGATCGATGTTTTTTTTCTGCCCTGGTGCCCGCAAATTCTCAGGGAGCAGCCTCCGACTTCTTATCTCCCCCAGGACGATATCATCCTTGTTTCGAGGCCCCTGGGTCCTAGCATCCTCAAGGGCACTGTGCACATCCTGCAGTTTCATCTGAAGCCAGTCCTGTCTTTCCACAGTGTGTCGATGCTCTCCAAGGTTATGCATTAATTGCATCTCACTCACTGATCTTTTCCTGAAAGAAAGGAAAGCAAAGGAACAGATGCAGAGTCTTTTTGAATTCGTGATTTTCTCTCAAAACCCAGGCTTGGAAACTTTTGTACTGTTCAGCAATACAGAGCTGTACAACCTTCCTTTCTAATTTGTCAGAGATAGAATTACATCTGGAGAAGAGGAGGAAGGTGGATAGTAATTTGTTAATGACAATAGGTATATTAGTCAGAAGGCATCAAAAATGGGAAGTAGTCCGGTTCTGACAATAGTGTTTGTATATTTACTATTTATTTTATCTGTTGTAGTTGAGCTTAGGGCTTAACATGGCAAGAGTTAACTGATTAATAAAATTATGGTATTTGTTCAGATTTGTTCAGATTACTCTTCTATGAACACTAGAGTTAAGGGAGCATGGTTTCCTGTGGATTTGTATCTCAATGCTGATTGATGTTAGTGCCCACAGGTGAGGTCCAGCTAGACTCTTGCACAATAGGAAAGATGTTTTTCTATTTAGGATCCCCCAAACACGTAATCAGAATCACAGAAGCATTAAGGTTGGGAAAGACCTCCAAGGTTATCTGGTCTAACCGTCCCCAGTGATCTTCCTAAGAAAACACTTACATGACTTTTCTTCCTCCACTATTTTCAAAAAATGTTTAAGAACTCTGTGTATGAGATCTCTAAAGATGTATCTAGAAGACAGTGTGGCTGGCTGGGCCAAGGGGTTCGAAAACAGGGATAGAAAGCCTGACATACACATAAACTTACATACAGACAAACCATCTTCTCAAGAACAGCTAACATTATCCTGCAAAAATTCGAAGTGTATAATAATGTACTTACATCATTGGTCTTCCATCAGAGTTTGTAAAAAAGCATATGGCAGATAAAACCATTGCAGTCTTGGCCAGACTTATTATAGAAGTCATTTTGTCTGCAAAGATAGTAATTAATACATGTATAAATCTGTATTTCAGGTAATTACTGTTCTAAAAAAGAAAGGTTGAAGAAAGACATCAGAGAAGTGACTTTAAAAGCATTCTTCTCATGAAATGGGTTAGAGTAAGGAATGCAACAGAAGAATTTAGTTCTATACTAAGTTTTGTGAACAACTTACTTTGTAGGCAAGTCTAAAAAATTCTGTGAGCCTTAGCTGCTCTGCATCATCCTCATCTAGGTACCCATGTTTTCAATAACTGGCTGAAAAGCATTGTGTCCTTTTAGTACCGTTATTTATCATTTATACTTGATACGCTCCAAGTCTATTGAAATACTTATATATAGCTATGCCAGTGAAAAAGTTTTGTTCTTTTAGCTATTTCTTTTGTGTCATCTAGTTGCATTATCTTTAGAATGAAGAAGCTGACACTCTTCTTGACAATTTTGCATAGTGTCATATCTCTACTGAGTTATTTCATTCTCCATTTAATAGAGAATCTCACAATAATCTCACAATAGAGAAATGTGAATTAAGCCCCACATTTTTTCATTATAAATCCTGCCTTGCCAGTATGATTTCCACTCTGCTTTGTACATCATCATCAGTATTTCCACTTGGTTTGTACTTGAAGAATATTTGTTATTGATGATGCTACAGCAAGCAGGTATGACACAGACAAAATTTCAGTTTCCAGTTTGGATTTTCAGTATTGACAGCCAGAAAAGCCTTTTTCTTTTTCTTTTTCTTTTTCTTTTTCTTTTTCTTTTTCTTTTTCTTTTTCTTTTTCTTTTTCTTTTTCTTTTTCTTTTTCTTTTTCTTTTTCTTTTTCTTTTTCTTTTTCTTTTTCTTTTTCTTTTTTTTTCTTTTTTTTCTAGAGCTTAAGGAATTTGATAGACGGTAACATAAATATTAAAAATATAAAACTCCAGAATGCCATTCTTGCAATATTTTCTGCAGTTTCACACTAGGTCAGAAAAGCATTTACTACATGGCATCTTACTTGATAGAATGAATGTGGTCCTAGCAGTTCATCTAAGTCAATATTAAAATTTTCTAGTTTACTGTGTTGGACTTATGCATTTCAAACATACGGTTCAGATAATAAAACAGCTCGATCTTACATACATTCATTTTATCTGTAAAATACTATTTTTAAGTTTGAAAAGAAGCTGAAGTAAAAGCTGAATAATGAATCAATGATAAAATAGATAAGTCTTCTAGAGAACTTGGAAATAAAACATATACTTACCAGATACTATCTTAAACAGATTTCTCGTTTGGGTATGTCGGCAGATGACTGTCTCTTGATGTCAAGTGTATTTAAAGACTACTGAATTGGTTAGTGGACCCTTAAATGTAACTCTAAAATAGAGCTTCTAAGTAACTTAGAAGCCCTTTTATTGTCTCAGTTGATGTCACTCTCAACACACACCCTCCTGACTCTCTTGTACCCACCCTCAGATGCTTTTGTTAATTTGGCATTTACAGGGAAAAGAAAGGTCTCAGCGAAAAAGTATCCTTGGTAGCTGTGAAGAAGTTTGACTTTTAAATTCAAGTCCCCTTTTACTCGTAGATCTGTGCCCAAGACAGTGTGATCTCTGAAGCTGGTTGGAGGGATTTGCAGAGAAAGCTTTGTGATGTTAAATGCAGGCAGTGGGTTAGTGATCTACAAATACAAGATAAAAATTACTGAAAAGCTAATAAGTGTAATAGTTGTGAGAAATAAGAATAGTTATACCTATAAGAATAGGTAACTGACACTTTAGGTCAGATTCCAGGTTTCTTTGTAAAAGAATATACCGAAGAGGAGCAGAAGCCCTGAGATGATAGGTCATGTTTTTAATGAGAAACTGATGGTACTGAAAAGTCATTAAAATCTAGTGTTAGAACCCCATTGTACCTACACTTATGGATATACCTGAATCACTCAAATGTGTTAGATAAAGTGGAGGCATTTGAAGAGGCTGTGATATAAATTAGTACTTTAAAAAATTTGGCAAAGAAATAAAGAACTCTGCCTACATTCTAAGAAGTAAAATGTGTAAATAATACTATCCCATATGTATGAATAAAAACTATTTTTGGCTGCATGATAGTTTCCCTGCAGTAGATGCTTCTTCTGATTTCTAGCCCATTTAATCAGGAAAAAAATATATGTTTACATCTGCACACTTTAACACACCATTCGGAAGCTATCATTGCTTTTACAGTGAATACTATTTAGATTATGCTATCTATATACCTGTAGTATTTCACAAAAAGGCAGAACAGATATTTTATACTATTGAATTGTGAAGATGGTATTGTCATGGGGAAAGGAAGGAAACACAGAAGCTCCAAAAAAAATCCAAAAAGCGTTCATGGTTCCCTCAGTAAACAGTAATCTGAGAAGTAAAGAAATAATCCACTTAAACATGTTCAAGAGATCAGGATAGAGCTGGCTTCCAGTATTAATCAGTTGTCAATATCCTTCTACCTACACAAATAAGAAAGCATACAGAGGTTTATGAGGATGATATATTTTCTTAGGAGATTTATATCCACTTCAGCAACTAACAATGCTAACCTGAAGGCTTTAGCGACTCAACATATAGCATGGGCATGGCATTAAAAAAACACATGCTTTCGTATAAACTGGTAGCAACAGATAGTGAAAATGGGCAATGAGCCATTAAGAACAATTGCAAAATGAGTATTAACAAACCTGAGCTGCAGATGTTACTCTTTCTATTGAAGTTGCATACTTTACAATGCACATGTAAATCTGGAAGAGACCCCAGGCTGGAGCCTTGAAAATAATGAGACAGATAAAGCACCAGAGTATATTGCAGTTGAAAATACTTCATTGATTTCAGACAGCTTAGAGTCTGTTAGTGCAGATGCCCTTAAGATGTGATTTTAGCTGGCTGATTTGAAGCATACGTAGTCTTTATAGCAACTCTGAAATAGGATTGCTTATTCAATGTCATTTTTATTCAAAGTTACTAAATTTGTTGTACCCAAAATCTCAAACAAAGATTGCTAAACTTGATCATTTGAAAGGAAGTTGCATGTGAAAAAAATATAGAAGATAAATTAGAACTGCAACATTTTCCTTGAATGAGAGAAGATACAAAAATAATAATAAAAAGAATTAAAAATTGAAATATATATATACATTTGTTAACTAATAGAGCCTGTGATAGTTACTATATAAACTTTTCATTACAGTTAAATATTGCTTTATCTGTATATAGTGAAAAAAAATATGTTTTGGACTATCCCTAATACCCAGAAATCAGGTTATTTAAAAATACTTATCTCATGTCATCTGTGTTCACTAAACATGGCATATCAAATGTGTGAATGACAGTTAGTGGACCAAATGAATGTAATTCTTTTACAAAATACTGTAATTGTGAACATTTTCCTTTGAACGCAGTGTATTCACTGAGTAACTGTCAGCTGAAAATGGTGTTGAGCTCTTTTAATGTTTCAGAAAGATGAAGATTCATGTTCTGATTTATTTTTTTTTCTCTTTCTTAATCAACCCTGTGAAACAAACAAACAAAAACAAACAAACAAACAAAAAAACAACAATAAAAAAACAACAGGTCTCTTTTGGGCACTACTTAATGGAAGAGGAGAAATCGGGGCTAACACCTGCTGAAATGCTGTTCCGTGGGAGGCTTAAAACCAGAATTTGTAGTCATTGTGGTATAGAGAGGTATATAAACTCTTAAGGAACAAATGCAAAAATAAAATCTCTGCTGTGAAAAAGTATTTCATCATCCTTTGAATTTATAAGTGTACGTATAAATAATGGGTGGGAAAAAAATCACAATTTTTTTAGGAAATTACCTTATGTTAGTGAGAATACATTTGTACAGCACACAAATGAGACAAGAAACAATTTTTGCTTCTCTTGGAACATGACAAGAAAACCCATAGTGGATTCTGAGTTTCCGTGTTCTGAAAATGGCAGGCTATCAGGCTATGAATGAGCCAATGTATAACACCGGGTAGAACTGAATAGAGCAGTCCAGAAACTATGAACTGTTAGATATCTCAGGTATCTACCAGAGAAAGGCAACCAATTTGTCAATTGATTGCAAGGAATTGTATGTTGTTGCATTATCAGAGAGAGAGATGAAAACCTGAAGATGCTGAAATGACAGGGTGGGAGGGAAAAGATGACCACAGCCTATTCCTCTGACAAGTCTGTATCTTGATAAAAGAACTACCCTTCCTTAACCTTCCCTTATAGATTGTACAGATACTTTAATCAACTGCACATGAAAAAAACCACCGTGTTTCTTTGTTTGCAGGAGGCATGACACCTTACTTTGAATTGGTACCATTGCATGTAATCAGACACTCAGGTTGAAGACAAGTGGAAAGCAATTAGACGGATTTTACAGCCAGCTAGGTAAACAATGGCTGTATTCCAAAAATACTGAATACTGAATAATCTACTTTGTAAAGTCTATTCATTTTTGTTAGGAAAAAGTATTATATTTTACCTTGAAACTAAACACATCCTGAGGTACATTAGTGGAATATAATACTTTCTAGGATTATATACTAAGTGGCCAAGAAATATTTTCTCAAATCAATTATATAATCTGGTGCATTAATATTCCTTAAGAATTCTGGATTCTAATCCCCTAGATTTAAGATTTAACTGTTAAAGTTATTTTTTTTCCATGTTATTTACAAAATCATTTTTTTGCCACTGTGGTTGTTCCGGTAGACGGATAAAATGTATTCTAACTGCAACTATGACTAAGAGAATATTAGTAGATCATTGAGCAAGGGAACAGATAATTGGTGGCCCACTGGATAACTGGTGAGACAAGCTTTCTAAATGTGTCCAAGGAATGTTCTGCCTTGACACAATGAAGATCCAAAGTGACAGTCAGTAAACTCTTTAGAACTTCATTTGATTGACAAGATTTGTGGCTTTTCAAATACCACAGCAGCATGTTTGGTAATTTATTTAAGCAATGT